AGTTCGAGTCCAGCCCGAGCTGAGCAGCCGCTGAGCTGCCAACAGGTAGCAGGATGGCTCAGCTTAAAAAAAAAAAAAAAAAAAAAAAAAGAAGTGGTGCCATCAGATATCCTTGCCTTGTTCCTGATCTTAGGAATAAAGTATTCAGTCTTCTACCATTAAGTACATTAGCTGTAGGTTTTTCATAAATGACCTTTAAGTTGAGGAAGTTTCTTTCTACTCCTAGTTTACTGACAATTTTTATCAGGAATGGATGTTGGCTTTGTCAAATGCTTTTTCTCTGCATCTATTGAGATGATTATATGATTTTTAATTTTTAGTTTATAAATATGGTGAATTCCACTATTAATCCAACCTTGCATTCCTGAAATATACCCTAGTTGTTCATGATATATTATCCATTTTATATACTATAGGATTATATTTGTTCACACTTGCCATGAATTTTTGCATACATGTTTATGAGGGAAATTGATCTGTATCTAACTTTTTGATAATATTTTTGTCTAGTTTTGGTATCAGTGAGTTGGGGAGTATTCTGTCCTAATTTTCTGGAAGAGCGGGTATATCATTAACAATATTACTTTGTTAAATACTTTGTCAAATTTACCAGAGAAGCCATCTTGGCCTGAAGTTCTTTGTGGGAAAACTTTTAAACTACAATTTCAAGTTCTTTAACGGATATAAGGTTACTCAAGTTACGTGTTTCTTCTTGAGAGACTTTGGCAGTATGTGTCTTTCCAGCAATTTGTTCTTTTACATAAGGTAATTCAATGGAGACAGGACAGTCTTTTCAACAGATGGTACTGGGACAATTGGATATCCATATGACATGAAAAAACAATGATCTAGAAACTTATAAAGATACATGAGGAGCACAAGAAAAATACATTGAGTGGGGGTGTCTACGCTTCAGGAATACGTTTTAGTATGGGTGTTTTCTCCAACCAAGACTCCAGTGGAAGTGGGGCTAAGTGCAGTGTTGACCCTTCAGACCTAGAATGTTTGAGCCAACGGGGAATTTCACTGGTAAAGTGGACTCGTTGACATCTTATTCAATCAAATGGGCAATATTAATTTGCATCAAACTAGATTTGATGGAATGCTAATTGTAATTTCTGTGCACTTGGCCTGTGTAATCAATAAACATAAGTATGCCCCTTCCCCTCATCTTTACCAATTATGTAAAATAAGATGAGAACAAAAGAATGCTGAGAGCTAGAGAGCATGCTAATTCAAAGGGCACTTCACTCTTGTGGTTGGGTAGGTAGCTGTCATCTGTGAAACCCTTGTGTGTTTGTGAATGGGTATAGTATGTAGCTGGGTGGGTATATGACTGAATCTAGTGTAAGGACGATAGCCGGCAGACTCATTAACAAATTGAATAACTAAAAACTTGAGTAATTCATGATCAATAATCATCATTGATTTTTAAATGAGATTGGTAGAAAGCCTATCCAGTAAGAGACTGCTGGTTTCGTGTCATCAGACACAAAAGAAACTTTCTTTTCATTTACCAGTATTTGCTAATTTGCAAATAAACATTGGCCACCTCCACTACAAAAAGGGTTTTTAAAGCATCTGTATGACGGGCGTAAGTGCATCATATTTCTATGAGACAATGTCGTGAGTGTACAGGCATCCCACCATAACCCTGGCCCTCAGAATAGGGGCCTCTTGCTTAGTTTCAGAGCTAACCAAGTCCTTGGAGTTTCTGCTGGCAGGAAACTGAAGCACTGACAGGCTCCTCCCACTTCTCACAGCCTCTTCCAACTCTTCTTGCATTCCAGCACCCAACCAGCAAAGAAAACAACTCCGACAGAGAGGCTGTGTCAACAGGCACGGCCACAAAGGTAAGGATGGTAGCTGGGGAAAGCAGCTGACCATGAAAAGCTCAGCTCTACACCATAAAACTCTTCACTCTAAGATCCGAACTGGGTTTGGCTCCCCTGCCTCTACAATGTGACTGAGTCGTTTAGCTTGGATATATGGGTTGCACTGCTTCTAAATATTAAACTGAGACTTTGTAAACAAGGCATGCCTCAAAGTTCTGGGAGGCTTTGGAATCTGACTAGTGAGGCATGTTATTGAATTCCTGCTGTTTATCAAATTACAATAGATCTAGTGTTCAAAGCCCATTCCCTAAGCACACCTGTAAGGACTCTCTTCCTTTTTGCCCCAGGGAAGGAGCATTGGCTGATTAACCCCTGGACAAGAGACCATGGCAAAGAAAGTGGCAGTGATTGGGGCTGGGGCCAGTGGCCTGACCTCTCTGAAGTGCTGTGTGGATGAGGGACTTGAGCCCACTTGCTTTGAGAGGACCGAAGATATCGGAGGACTGTGGCGTTTCAAAGTACGTGAGATCTCGTTTATTGAATGGGTTGTGCTGCTATTGCATGGTGAATCATAGCTATTGATGACCTTTCGTGAGGGATTCCCTAAGCAGCTTTGATCAGATTTACTCCACGAAGCTGTACAGGAGTTAAAGAAATAGGCTGGCGTGTCTCCCAGGTCATTACTATCCTAATCAAGGTGACAAACCCCAGCATGTGAAGAATCTCTGCTTCGGGCTTCTAGCCACTGCCTTGCAGCCCACACATTTGTAATTCTCAAAGCAACTTGCTAATAGTAGAGAACATTTTACATAATAGAAGTGACAAGGAGTCTTCCCAAGACACCACTTCTATTCCAAATCATTGAGCAAATGCTTTTTTAGAGAGTGTGTTCTTATTTTATTTTATTTTTTTATCTTACTTTATTTTTCTCTGACACATAAACTGTGTTTGCTTTGCTTAGCTTTACTGATATACCTGCTGGGAAACTCTTTAACTATATTATGAACTATATTCTGTTCATTAAATTCACACTATGAGCCAAACCCAGGTATTGGTAATGCTAGCTGTCCTTAAGAATTTGTATAAAAATGAGAAAGACACCTAGATGGATAACTGTCAAGATTTATAATTATTCCTTCCCACAATCTTTCAAGTAAGTACTAGCATGCCACCTTCTAGGTGTGAGGTCTTGGACAAGTTATTTACACCCCTTTGTCTTAGTTTTCTCAGCTGTATAATGGGGATAAGAATGGAAAAGTGTAATGGTCTCAGTGTTCTTTTGAAGACTAAGGGAGATCTCTCAAATAAAAAACGTAAAGTACGAACTTACAATGAAGTTATTGTTAGCTATTATAACTGCGTTTGTGTTTTATAGAAAAGCAAACAGAAACTGACAGAGATTAAATGATTTGGTCACGGTACACAGCTGGAGCAAACTGGCTTTCAAAGCTGGCTCTCTGTAACACCTAAACAAACAATCAAGTGCCTACTTATAACTATTCTCTGAGGTTAAGCAAAATTTCAGCTCAGAACTCAAGAGTGACAACTTGAGGATTATGTATTAAAGTACGTCTAAGTTGGGGATTAAAACAGGTGGGAACGTCCCGGACAGGAGCAAAGGGGATGCGCACATGAGGAGCAGACTGTTGCATCAGCAGAGGCCATCCAAAGTGCTCTCCCTACACGCCGACCGATTAGGGAATGGCGAGGATATTGGCACATGCGCTTTGCCAGTTCAATTTCATGCCAAAGGGGGTTGTTTGACCTTGGGCTTCTTAAATGTATCTAAGATACACCTGGAGGGTTTCTTAAATTACTGAATTTTGAACACAAGCCCAGACTTCCTGAGTCAAAATCTCCTGAGGAGAGGAATCTATTTTTTTTCCCTAAGAAAGTATATTTTAACATTTTTTATTAAATTTAATGGGGTAACATTGGTTAATAAAATTATATAGGTTTCAAGTGTACAATCTACAGTACATTATCTATTGGGTTGTCAGAAAAGTCATGACACATTTTTGCAACGAAAAACATAGAAAAATGCGTCATGGCTTTTCTGACAGCCCAATATATATTGCATTGTGTGCTCACAACCCAAAGTCAAATGTCCTTCTGTCACCATATATTTGACCCCCTTTACCCTCTTCTACCTCCCCTCTCCCCCTTTACCCTCTGGTAACCACTAAACTGTTGTCTGTATCTATGAGTTTTTGTTTCTTTATTTGTCTTATTTGTTTGTTGCTTTCAGTTTTATATCACACATGAGTGAAATCATATAGTTCTCAACTTTTTCTGTCTGACTTATTTTGCTTAGCATGATGATCTCACGACCCATCCATGTTGTCGCAAATGGCAGCATTTCACCTTCTCTTATGGCTAAGTAATATTCCATTTTATATATGTACATCATCCTTAATGAAGAGTCCCAAATGATTCCTATGATGAGACAAGTTTGGCAAAAATTGCACAAATATCAATTTGTAAAATCTATTCATTCAATGATTTAAGCATAGCCAGAGCTAACGATAGAGATGCTGATATTTATATAGGACTCTGCAAAGTAACTTTGCAGAAAGGGAACTGGAAAAACAGTTGAATCACATTCATTTCTTACTAACAACTGGTCATCGGAATCATTATGGCTTTTCCTGAGAGGGTGACATAACAAGGTGGTCATTCCTGTCTTAACCAAATATGTGTCATTTTGTCCACTCTCAGTTTACCTATAGATTCCATTTGGAGTTTTATCCCCCAGATAGATTTTTTAACGTCAGGAAGAAATGTGAAATTGTAACAAATTTCTTTTTATTAAAAAAGTTGTCACTATTTAGTTTTATTTGGGATTTATTATCAAAGAGTCAAATGCTCCTTACATGATTATCATTAATTTGACAGCAGAAGAGGTGAGAGTTACTTTGAGTGACCTGTCAAAATTACGACTTGATGAACTCCAGGAAGGTATTTCCTGCCCCAAAATATTTCTCCTGCTATCCTATTACTGGTGTCCAAAATTTCAGAATTAGAGAAACTTCCTACGGATTAGAAAAGTTAGATTAAAATTTAAATTAATTAAGCCTTATTAGATATAAAATGGTTAAGGCTATAACTCCTGGGAAACTGTCACAATATCACATTTCAAACCTCTCTTACAACTATATCCAACAGAGAAACGTAAACAATTTTCTTTACCCGAAAAAGACAGCGAAGCTCCCTGCAGGGTGAGGCATACAATAAAGCCAAATTTCACCAGCTGCCAGTGGGGTCATATGAAGGTCGTGATTACCAGGAGATGGGACTGCCAAAGGGAGGAGGTGCCGAAAAGGATGCCGGGAGCCTCCACACCCAGGCCCAGGGCAACTTTGCCTCTGCACCCCTCTACCATCCAGATCCAACTCTGAAAATAGGTTCTTCTTTCATTTCTATATTCAGACCCAATCTTTTAAGATCACTTAACACAGTGGTCACAAGTTAAAATGTAAGAGTCTGACTCTGGGTGGTGAACACACAATGTGATATATAGATGATGTATTACAGAATTGTACACCTTAAATCTACGTAACTTTGTTAACAATTGTCACCCCAATAAACATTAAAAAAAAAAATGTTAAGAGTCCTTCTCCCATGCCAGAAGAGAGGTGCTGAATTCTTCCCAAATGTTCTCCAGCACCCCCTAGTGGCAGTTTTGGAACACAGGATGGGTGGGTAATGAACGTTTTTTGTTTTTTTTAATTAAGATGATTTAATTTAAATATGGAGCCTTTCCTGCCAATCCCCCATTCAGCCATCCCTTCTCTCACAGACAAAGGGCTTAGTGATCCTTCCCTTAGTAATTTCTCACCAATATGCACCATTCTTATATTTTTAACAATTTTTCCAGTAATGGGAAGCACTTGCAATGCATCATCTCATTTTTCTTCACAATATTCCCAGGAAGTAGGTATTATAATTATTCCCATTTACATATGAAGAGAGAACTGAGGAAAAGGATAAACAGCTTGCCCAAGGGAACACCAGTGGTGGAAAAACAACACAAATGCAGGTCTATAGATTCCTGAGCGCTCATACCTACCGTATTTGCCGGCGTATAAGACGATTTTTTGGCCCTGAAAAATATGCCTCCAAGTGAGGGGTCATCTCACTTGGAGTATACGCCAGGTACACTTCAGATAGACTGCCCATATAACAAACTCTGTATTTTGAGTGGAAATGTTAGGGGGTCGTCTTATACGCCCAGTCGTCTTATACGCCGGCAAATATGGTAATAGCCTTCCTGAGGTACTGAGAGAGAAAAGCATCATCTCCCTTCAGCCCCTCACCTGCTCTGCCTCCTTCATTGTTCCTGATACCTGTGTTCACAGGGAAGTTACCAATATACATTGCTTTGGTGAGGTTTTCTTATGGCTTTTCGTTTTTGCATTGTTTTACATTTGGATATAAATATATCTTTTTCCAGCTACATATACACTTGATCCTTGAACAGTGGTGTGGGGGCTGACCCCCATGCAGTAAAAAATCTACATATAACATTTGATTCCCCCAAAACTTACCTTACTAATACCCTCCTGTTGACTGGAAGCTTTTCCCAAAACATAGTCAATGAACATATTTTTAATATTCCATGTATTATATGCTGTATTCTTACAATAAAGTAAGCTAGAGAAAAGAAAACATTAAGAAAAGCATAAGGAAGAGAAAATACATTTATAGTGTTATATGTACTTATTTAAAAGAAATGGTGTATAAGTGGAACCAGGCAGTTCAAACCTGTGTTGTTTAAGAGTCACCTCTACTCAGCTTATTTTAATTAATCTTCATATAATAGCCTCTAACATCTCTCTACCTTGGTTTCCCGTGACTAGACTCAATCTGAAATATCACCTTCTGTCTTAAAATGTGACTCCCCCAAGATCCAATATTCCAAACCAATTTGAAACAGAATTGTGATGTCATCATCAATTTTTGACAAACCACAAAAGCAAAACCTGAAAAGCGACCCTTGCCCTGGCTCTGAAATTATCAGAGGAGCTCAGACATCAGAACCAGTTCTTCTCATTACCTAAAATTGACCTGACAGAGAAGCCAACCTCACTTGAAAACCAACTTGAAAACCAGTATATTGGTTACTGCGTAATGGTCGATCTTAATTTAAACTATGGCTGGTTTCTTAAGATTAACTCTAGTGGCCCATAATAATAGCAAAAGAGGCAAACATGTATTGAGCACTTAATTAGAGTCGGCCATTGTACCAAGCACTTTACCTGAACTAATCAAAGCCTCATAACGATTGTGTGATGCTGGAATTATTAGTGAACCCCATTTGACAGGAGAAAAGGAAGAAACTGACTTAATGTAAGTTGCTCATGGTTATAAAGCCACTAAAAGTGGTAGAAGTAAGATATCAACCCAGTCTGACTCCAGCGCCCTCATGTTTAACACTCCTTTGTACTACTTATAAAATTATCTGGTCTGGACAAAACATTAGCATTTTTTTTTTGCTTTATGAACTAGTTCTGATTTTGAGAACTTGGTAGGATAAGAAACTCATAGACACTCAGTCTTGCCAAGAATATTGTGTTTGATCGTGTTGAAATACCCAGAAATATTGGGTTGTCAGAAAAGTCATGACATATTTTTTCTATGTTTTTCATTGCAAAAATGGGTCATGACTTTCCCAACAACCCAATAGTTTACACAATAGATGTGAGTCTAGTAGTAGGCAACTTGAAGCTAGTGTTTGAAAATGAAAATATCATGATTTATTTATCCAGAGTTCAGAACATTGTATCCTGCGTGTATGAGACAGAAACCACTTCATATTTTAATACAAACTCCCTTTGCATTCTAACACATAGTTAACAATAAACACCACACCAAACTCCAATCACCTAGAAAGTTGCCATGTTCTAATCTGACAAGCCTTTACCAAGCCACTTGACGTTGCAACAAAGTTATCATCTGGGCCTTGATTCTGGAATAGGAAAGATAAACACGTTGCTTATGGAAAGGGCATTTGACTCCTGGCCTGAGTTGGCATGAGTGAATGGATGGATGGATGGATGGATGGATGGATTGGTGGATGGATAAGAAAGAGAGGAAGAAATGTGCGAGGGAAGAGGCTCTTTACAAACTTAGACCTAAATTTAGCAAGGATTCTATATATGCTCTTAAAAGACACAATCTGAGAATACATATTGTTTTAGCTTTGGTGACTCATATGGAAACTGATAACCCCTGTGAAGTCCGATATATATATATTTTTATACTATATATAAGAGGCAAAATCTCACAGTTTACTCTTTTTTAACTCTTTGAAATTGAGGTATAAAGTGAATTAATAGCCAAGATGATAGTCAAGCTGCTACATTACTAAAATCAGGTAGGCTGAGGTATGAGGAAATGAAGCTGCTTTGTTCTGACCAGCCTGGGAACTTAAACTTTTTAACCTTCCAGTCCTGGATATACATCAAACCTTCAGATAATCCTATGATTACTCCCTGTGATCAACTAAGAAAAAGATATCCATGTATCCACACAACCTGGGGTCCATTATCCAAACCACTGGTCCTCTAGAGAATTACCACCTTGGCTCAATCCAGAGGCTAAGAATGCAGGACTAGCTCTTCCCAAGAATTAACTTTGTACTATAACTCTTAGCTTTTCTTTCTTCTTCGGAACACTCTGGGTGTTGCCTAGCTGTGTTTCCTGTCTGCAAACCCTAAGACCCTTGAAAAACATCTTTATCATTTATTTCCAGCAAAGCCTCCAGACTCTTTTTGAGTCTGTTCAACAAAATCAAATACACCCTCTTGCACCGAAAGTGGCAGGAAACTCAAGTGTGAGAGTGAGCGTGCCTGGGTCAGTTACTGTGGTGTCCGCTCTGCCCCCCAAGGTGCCTTTCTTATGCTGCAGTGAACAGTGAACTGTAGCCGACAGCTTTGCTGAAACTTAGAGCTTCCTCCCCAATAACCGTGTGCACCACTGCTGAGCATCTAGTACATCTCTGTTTCACAGCTCAGGGGGCCGCTCTGGTCCAGGCTCACGCAGACTGAAAGACATGGATTGAAACCTGTGTCTAACTCTGAGGACCACACTCCTTCGGCTAGTCCAGGCTGCCTCTTTCCATGTTGCCCCAAAATCGAAGGAGCCTTGCTCTAAAGGTTGACAGGAAAGTAATGATTTTCTATGAATAAGAATGAGAAAGGAACATGCACAATTGATTATTGTGGTCTTGAGATGACAGTTAAATGTTTACTTTATTTACTACTCTGTGGAAGGGAGTGTAGTGCTGCTTATGTAAGACTGAGTAATTTATTTCAATTAATTAGCGAGCTCCTGCAACCCTTCCATGTGTTTTTTTAAAAACCCTCCCTCATGCTGAGTCATAATGCAACTACTATTTGCCTGGATGACGCCTTAGTCTCTGCATAGGCAGAAGCTTCTATTAAGAAGTTCTTGGGGTAGGCCGAGTGGCGCATTGGTTAAGAACTGGCTTGGGATGCCAGAGGGCCCCGGTTCGGATCCCACATATAAGGGCCAGTGACACTGCCCTCCACAGCTAAGATGCTGAACAACAGCTCAACCTGGAGCTGGGCTGCCGTGGGTCGCCAGCGACAGCTAGGCTGCAGTCCCCTGCTGCAGTGGGCTGCCATAAGCTACCATGTGTAGCCAGCAGCCAGCATGAGCGGCCAGCAGCCTCTGTGATTGGCCGTCCAGAAGCCGGGGACTGATCTGCCTCGCCCGGGAAGAGCGCAATGATGGTGCCAACTTGGGCCAGTGAAGCAACATCCTCTACAACTAGACTAAAGAACAAAACGACAGCAACTTGTCTGTTCCCCTTCCCCCAATTCCCCAATTAAAAAAAAAAATCTTAAAAAAAGAAGTTCTTGGATACCATGATTTAAATTGTCTTATAAAAGCCTCTTTGATAACATGCTGATATCAGGGATGACGAACCACCATTCCTTGGGTCTTGTCACGATTTAACGTAAAAGATATTATCATTAAGCAGAGCACTTCTTGTAGGGGAAACTATAGACTCAATCATAGCAATAACATGGGCTGCCTTCTGTGTTACCAAAGCACACTCACTAACATTCCAAATCAAGCTTCAGGTGTGATTGGTATCAATGCTGCTCACCTTTATCACAGGACAAAGGTTGATTTGCATAAAGCATAAAGTGAGGGCAGGTGGTTCAAATCAACATGTGAAAACTCCCTGCCCCCAAAAGTACTCATTTGAATTGATATTCTCTATTATGTTCTCTGACCATTGTCCCAGGGTTTACTGGTTCCTAAAGAGGTGGAAAGTGGGCATAGCCTCCCCAGGGGAATTTCAGTAAGAGGCTGGTAGTCACAATGACTGACATTAAAAAGTTAGAGACCTAGGATGCTAAATACGCCCAAAGAAGGGTTGTTTCCACTTCCAAATCCACCAATGGCAATAGCCCCTCCAGTGAGTGACACTGGAAGGCCCCACCTACGTCCTGTCACACAGGATGATGGAACAGGTACACTGCACCTCCTCACCCAGGTATTTCAATCACATTACAACAACGAAAGAGGATCCAATCACCCAGCGGTGAAATTTAGAAGAGCAGGATACCAAGGGATTTTTTTTTTTAATGTATGATTATCTCTCTTTTATTTGATCCTTTAGGAAAATGTTGAAGATGGCCGAGCGAGTATCTATCAATCCGTCATCACCAACACCAGCAAAGAAATGTCCTGTTTCAGTGACTTCCCAATGCCTGAAGATTTTCCAAACTTCCTGCACAATTCTAAGATCCTGGAATATTTCAGGATTTTTGCCAAAAAGTTTGATCTTCTAAAATACATTCAGTTCCAGGTATTGAATTTGGGGGGAATGAGGGGAATGGTTTTCTCTACATTAGTTCAGATCACATTTAAGTCGAGAAGTTGTTCTGGTAATGAAAGAACTTGTGAATGAAACAAAGCGTTCTAATCCAATGATGCTGAAGGATCAGAGCATGACACAAAACCTCCGAAACTACCCTACACATTATAGATCATGCACATTAAGAGAAGAAAAAAATCATCTGTTAAAATTAAAGGTTTTGATGATTGATTATAGTGATAGTTAAACTGCATTTAAACTGTTTATAACCACTAAAGACTCCTACCCTCATTTCCCTTAAAAAGACGTATGGAAAACACCAAACTGCTAGTTCATTTTCTTACCTTCCCTATAGAAATAGCATGTTTTAGAAAAATGTGTTAAATAAACAGACAGTTCTCCATTCATCTAAGAAGCCTATACAAACTATTTTTGCTAATTATTTTTTCTGGTTGCAATCTCTAGCAAGATAAAGATGGCCAGATCATTTTGAAATACAATTAGAAGTATCTTTCCTGTGTGCTTCCTCAGAAACAATTAATCAACAAGAAAAAAAAAACCAGAAGAATATTCTCACTAACCATATCTGCTGAATTTTTATCAATAACCTTCACTCTGAGAACTAGTAATTGTGCTTAAGAAATAAAATTTAAATTATAACTCTGAATAAATAACTCTTAGTGAAGCTTAGTTTGTTAACACATCTCATTTTCTCAGTAATTTTATAGTTTTTTCCCAGGTTTGAATTATGTTCATTTATAATAGTTGATTTGGGTGAAAAAAATCTATATTTGTAAATACCATTAAAATGTCCAGTTTCATCTAATGTAGTTTACCCCCCCCCCAATTCCTGGTAGATCCATCCTATGAATGACAAAGTCCTTATACCAGAAGATTTGATAGGTCTTTGTCCACTTAATTATCAAGCTATTGAACAGGAATATTGCCCTCTTATGATATATAATTTATATTATCTGTTCTTTCAAAGGTCATGTTAGGATTGTTTGTGTTACTGCTGTAATTGGTTTCTGGGGGTTGCAGCGGGGCTAGGAAAACTCATTTCTGTTTATTGGTCTCTGAGTTGGCATAAGCCAAAAGATGTTAGGGCTCAGCTCAAACTGGAAAGGGCTCTGTTTCATTTCTAATCACCTCCCAAGTGATGCTGAAAGCATTGGTCCTCGAACCGCATTTTGAACAGCAAGAATCCACAGTACGTTAGCTAACATACTACCCTGGGCTGCAACTCTGACATCTTTAATCGCAGCTGAAAATACCCAGCCATTTTATAGTACTTTCATAAGCTTTACACTAATATCCCATACATGTTTTTGAATTTGAACCATCTCAAAAATTGCCTATGCAGAATTTTGAAAAATATCTGAAAATTGAAAAGCACGTAGAAAAGGCTTGGGTCCTTGCAAACAAGAGAAGCATGCCATACCCACAGGTGAGACAAGCTTTGCTTCCGTTTGACCTTGTTACTTACACACAGTAGACATACGACCTTTATGTAACTGATAAATTATTTCATCCAAATGAGATCATGAACATGATGTACTCTGCTTTACAAACACGAAACGCGAGCAACTGCCATTCGTGGAGTGCTGGCAAGGTACCAGGCAGTATGAAAAGCGCTTAGTGCCAAGTGCTTAATCTGCACAGAGAGAGACACATACAAGTTTCTTGGTAAATACTGTGTGATCATTTGAATGATAAATGTGTGTTTGCACGTCGCACAGAGCTCACCTTGCATTTCGCCCCAGTTCTTACTCGGTCTTCAACAGACTGGCGCCCAATGCTGAACGGACATCTCGCACAAAGCAGCCCGTCCTCAGTAGCTCCCTGCCAAAGAAGAGTGGGAAAGGCATGCTGAACAGTCTTTGCCATAACTGGCTTGAAACGGATTCAAATGGAACCTAAATGGAGTTGCACACTGCACTCTACCCGTCCCCACTCCCGGGGCACTGGACAAAGCCCTTGTGATGCCCGATTAATTTTCCATGGTGCCTTCTCTGTTTGCTTAAGACAACTGTCCTCAGTGTGAAAAAACGCCCGGATTTCTCATCCTCTGGCCAATGGGAGGTTGTCACCGAGACCAGAGGCAAGGAGCAAAGCGCTGTCTTCGATGCAGTTATGGTTTGCAGCGGCCATCACATCCTCCCTTACCTCCCATTGGAGTCATTTCCAGGTGAGGCCGGGGATCCCCAGCTTTTTGGAGTCGGTGTCTAGGCACTTTATGTGCAGTTTAGATCTACAGGTAGAATTAGCCTCTGCAATTTGGGGACAATAGTAAGATCAGGATAGAGCTGGAAGGACGAAAGACTCCCAATACCATCTTTGTTCCTGTTGACCTCTCTGGGTCTTCGTTACCCAGGGAGTTCTGCTAACCTCCTCCAGAGTCAGCATTTCAGGGAATTCTCACCTACACTGGCTCTCTGTTGGGGAGGCCCTTTTAGCCACGGACCTGCCTTGGCCTTTTTCCATCCTGCCAAACACCTTTGACTTTGTTCTGTCCCTGCAGCCTTTTCCACAGAACCACGCCCCCAAGACAGGGTTCCTAAAGAGGGTTCCTGGAAACTCTTCGGCTCCTGGACCATAGCTTAACTTTTCTTATGTGCTTTATACTTTGAGTTCGCCATCTGGCCTTGCTATTGCAACTCCCCTAAGAGGGGAAAAGGCCAAACAAACGATTGGCTCCAGAAAAGAAAAGCTGATGATGCAGTTTGATTGACATTAACTTGACAGAGTTGACAGGCTGCTCTCTTTTTTCTCCTGAAGGTATCGAGAGGTTCAAAGGCCAGTATTTCCATAGCCGCCAATACAAGCACCCAGAGGGATTTGAGGGGAAACACATCCTGGTGATTGGATTAGGAAACTCGGCCTCAGATATCGCCGTTGAGCTGAGTAAGAAGGCTACTCAGGTGCGGTGCTCTCTGCTGACTTTGTACCATGGAGGAGAGGAAAGGGGCAGACATATTGAAAAATCCGAGCCGTCGAATCAAGGCTCCATTACTCATTAATTGGTTGGTTGTTTGGTTGGTTGGTTGTTTGGTTGGTTGCTCAGTGTGGTACCATAGAAAATCTGGAGTCAAAGAGCCAGAGTTTACCTCCCAGCTCTGCCACTGTCAACTGTGTGGCCTAGGGTGAGTCATTTCACTTTTCCGGGCTACGGTTCTCTCACTTTTTAAATGGGAAGTTTGGACCAGATGACTTTCAGCCTAAGAGGCCTTGTTTTTACCCAGGGGGTTTAGTGAAAAGTTGACCTGTTCATATTTTGGGGAGTGCCATTTAGAAAGTTAACGTATACTTGAATTATATTTGAAATGTAAATAATCATTGGTTATCTAAGGGTCATGAAAAAAAGGTGAAATCAACTGTAAGACTCCCGGCCAAGATCATAGATATTTAGGTGCCTGCCGAGGCCTTCAAACCACTGTCATCTTTGTCCCTGCTCAGGAATGACAAGGCTGAGCTGCCAAGGACTCAAGCATTACGAGATGTCAATAATGCTTGGGAACAGCAGAAACTAAACCCCTTCCGGCGGGACAGACCTCGGCAAAGACAGGAAAATAGCTAAGGTTCCTCTCTCCTAAGCATTCTCTCCCAGCAGGGCATGGACCCAGGGGCCCTGTCACTTGTGCACTAGCCTCCTCAGCCTGGTGGCATCTTCTGACATCACGGACTTACCATGGCCATGGCCGCAACTAGCACAACCATCCTGTCCTGAGTTTCACACTTTCAGGACTTGAGATGCCCAGTAGCAAATGTGATAAACAAATATGGTGCCTGCCCCAGCAGACTAATGAAGGGGTTACACTGGGACCTGTCAGAGTCACCTCTCGGTCAGGGCCATGGAAGAGGGGGAGATAGGAAGTAAGGGAATGAGACACTCATGGAAATATTAAGTATAATACCTAATACCTGATCAAAGTATTGTCAAGTCAACATAAGGGCAGCAGCAAGGAACAACGGGGACATAAGTCTATCACCACACACAGACCAATAATGTAATACTGTTTTGTGTAGGTACGGCTTTACAAGCTAAGAACTTGAGGTCCTTCCCAGCAAAATTTGTCTCCAAATTCTGGCTTACTCCAGATGTGTGACACCATACAAAACTCCTCTCCTCCAGCCTAAATTCACAAAGTAGTAATAGCTAGCAGGCAATAGTTTAAATGCTTTACATATTCGTGTATCATCTCACTCAATCTGCCCAACAATCCCATGAGGTTTGCAGACAGACAGAGAGGTTGACATACCTTGCCCAAGGCATTACAGCTATTAAGTAGCAAGGCTGGGGGATTCAAACCTAGGCAGCCTAGATCTGGGGTCTTGGGTCTAGAGCCCATGATCTCAAACTCTTAAGTGTATCAATTTCCTTACAAGTGAATCATATGTAAGGATTCGTCTGAGACAGCCTTACACAACAGAACTCATAAGACGGTATGTGACATTTTGAGAAGCAATTCAAACATTCATTTGGACAATGGGGGAGTAACAGTAAGCAAGGCAAAATACATATTTGAACATATATTTTTATATATCCATATTTCAAAACACATTTTGAAAGCAAGAGAAATCTGAGTAAGAAAGGTGAAAAATACATCTGAAAGAGGATTCAGGTGTGCACTTGAAGAGACTGGGAATCACGGTCTAAGTTCAGAGTTTTTAACTTTTAGGATACATAAAACGTTCTTCTAAGTATGGGAGGAAGCTGATTCGCCTTGTTATTCCCACTCCAAGGTAGAGAGCCATACATTTACACCTGCATAGTCACTGGGCTGCAGCCATCCATTTCCTACGGTCATAATTATTCACCTTCACTATAAAAGAAACTTGGGTGGGTGGAAAAGAGGAGGGGAGGGAAGAAACATCGCACGACAACTGTAAACACAGCAGAGTCATGGATTTTACGATGGGTATTAGCCCAAAGAGTTCCTCGTGTGTCCATGCAAGTTCTCATGACTAGTGCACTCTTCCTCTTATTGGGGTATATACCACGGGGTACCCCCTTTATCATAAAGTTGCCACAGACCAGTGAAAACTAGAAGGTGCTTCACTTGGAGGCCAATCATCTTTAAAACAGAGCATTTCAATGGGCCGGCTGAGTGGCTCAGTTGGTTAAGAGCTCGCTCAAGAGTTTGAGCTCTGAGCAACAGCGGTTCGAGTCAGCCCGAGCTGAGCAGCCGTGAGCTGCCAACAGGTGGCGGGATGGCTCAGCTAAAAAAAAATAAAATAAAATAAATTTAAAAAAAAAACAGAGCATTTCAGCAAATTCTGGGACTGTACATGTGATACATCACCTGCCCAGCAGATCCCTCCCAAAAGGGACAATGCCCTAAGTGAATTGTATTCCTCTTTGCTGACAGGTATTTATCAGCACCAGGCATGGTTCCTGGATCGTGGGTCGTATCTCTGAAGGTGGCTATCCCTGGGACCATGTCTTCCACACCCGGTTTAGTTCCATGCTCCGAAACGTCCTGCCACAAATGCTTCTAAAATGGATGATGGAACGACAGATGAACCAGAGGTTCAGCCATGAAAATTATGGCCTTGAGCCTCAAAACAAGTAGGGTTATTTTGCTTTTTTTTAATGGTATACTCATTGGTAAGCAAGGTTGTCAGAGGTGCCTCTCTTTGCAAAGAACCAACAATGGTAGTTCAAGCTACAACCGAACGGCATAGGTGTCATATAGGTCCTGGAGTTTGAATTCCAGATTTGTTCAGTATGCCTATAGAAAAGTAAATACTTAAGAAGATCAAGTAGAAATGGTATGAGCTGCTCCGAAAAGCAGAATAGATCAGGGAAGGAACTTTCTAATACCCAGAGCGGCCCGACATTAGAAGGGCTGCTTTAAGGGACTGTGACCTTCCTTTCAGAGGGTTGTCATGGGAAAGTGTGCCAAATTCTCCAGCTGATAACTCATGCTTTGCAGGTTCTTCCCGTGGAGGGGAGGGGGAATCTTTGTTCATCTCAAAGTTCTACATCACCAACCTTATAAACACAAGCAAACATTATAGATGTTTATTTTAATTTAGTTGATAACAGGCTCCTTCCCTTAAAAAAAAGAGCTTTGGAATATTTCAACAATGCCATGTGACTACTGTATTCTGAGACCTGATACATGTGGCATGTATTGTCTTATATTTTTTAAAAAATGGTTCTCATATCTCCAAAAAAAAAAAGAGAATTTAAGAAGTACAAGTAGACTTTGCTTTATCACCCAGGCTATCATATACGAGACTTATGGATACTTGGGATTAACAAATATCTCCAAACTTAATTCTATACATTAATTTCCACATTGATCCCTTACTAAGTTTCAAAACTAATGGGAATTTAACAAATGTCCCCTTCCTTACTTATGACCAGAGATTAAATGGAACAGCAAGATAATTAATGGTTGATAACATAAAAGAATGGTAGAAATATCAATAGGATAATAACCACCGGAATAGTCAGGGATTAACCATAGGCACTGCCATTTTGTCTAAGCCATTGGGGATGCTTCCTGTTTTAAAATATCTTTTACTCCCATCACCTACAGGTTTTTCCTGTGTTGAGGGCAGAGATTTGTGACATGGAAATACAGTCAGATAGTAAGGCTTGGGCCAGGACCCCTAATCAAATTAGAAAGTTTTATGGATATTTGAGAAACCTCTTTATTCTCAGAGCCAACCCCATGGAACATCAAGAGGGCTCCAGACTCCTTATTAAATGCTCCTTCCAGGTGTTTCCTTCGGTATGTTTCAGATACCTTATGAAAGAACCAGTACTAAATGATCATCTTCCAAGCCATATACTCTATGGAGCCATCAAGGTGAAATCAAGAGTGACAGAGCTCACAGAAACTGCTGCTATCTTTGAGGACGGGACGGTGGAGAAAGACATTGATGTCATTGTCTTTGCAACGGGATATACTTTCTCTTTTCCCTTCCTTGAAGAGTCACTGGTTAAAGTAGAGGAAAACATGGTTTCACTGTATAAATACATGTTCCCTCCTCACCTGGAGAAGTCAACCCTTGCCTGCATTGGCCTCATCCAGCCCCTTGGTTCCATTTTTCCAACTGTTGAACTTCAAGCCCGTTGGGCGACAAGAGTTTTCAAAGGTAAGTGAGTAGCTGAGGATTTCATACCTGGTGGGGTTTGCTCAGTAATAAGTTTAGATAAGGCTGCCTACCTTGACTGTTCTCATAAGATTTACATCCTACAACGTTACTAGAAACATCACAAAATAACAAATATAGAGATACAATAGTAATAAATATCTGCCACCATTTCTTTAAACTATTAGAATTCAGAGAATTTTGATTGGCGTAAAGTTCAGCGTATGTCATCCTTTCTTGGAATCATGAGAGAAGCGCTGAGAAAGAGAACACCTGTGACTCCTGGTTTCACCTATAAGAAGTTTATAAATTCCTCAGAATATGTGCAAGTCAAGAGACCTACGACTTGCTCCACACTTCACTCCAAATAAACTCTTACTACCTAAGCAGTTGAACCTCACAGATCCCTACAAAGTTATAAAATTATTGAAAGGTTTCTATCTCAGCATCTGTGTAGCACTTTTCTCCGCTCAGAAAGCTATTATCTCACCGACCCAAGGGTCAATTCAGTTCACCAAAAACACATTGAGCATCTAGCCCTGTGCTAGGACCTGGTGGGGTAGAGAGAAATTTAAACATATCTGTTCGACAAAATAAGATGAATGCTTTGATGGAGGGATGGGTGGAGTGTGTGTGAAGAAGATAGATGGCGTGTAGTAAAAGCAGGGTAGGACAAGGGGAGGGCAGGTGAAGGAAAACTTTGTAGAGGACTGAATTTCTCAGGTATAGAAAAGGAAGTCCCTTGAGCTAGAGTGCAGAGGCATGATGCACATGGAGAATTAGAGGCTGTCTGACATCCCTAGAACATCATGGGTGACACATGTCATGGGCCAGAACACGGGAACCTTGTGAGGCATGCTAAGGAACTTGCATGTAAAATGTAGAGTGGCTCATCTCAAATCTAGCTCCACATAAATATCACCTGGTGGGTCCTTAGGGACCCTGATGAAGTCTGGCCTGGGGACCTAGAATCTTCATTTTAGAAAGCTCTTCAGACAGAGGACCCAATGAAAGGTTATAAGCAAGGAAGAGGCATTCTCAGATTTACATTTTTGATACACAATTTCAACATTCGTGTGGAAGACAGGCTTGAAAGAAGAAAAGAATGGAGTCTCAGAGACCAGAGAGAAGGCACTGCAATAGCCTGTGTTAAACTACGATGCAACCTGAGCCAGGCAGACAGACCCAGTGGGGGAGATGGTATACATGTGAGAAGTAGTTAAGGATATAATCAGCAGGGCATAAGGACTGGCTCAGTATGGCAAGAGCAGGGAAGAGAGAGGAACCAAGAACGATGACTTGCCAATCTCTGGCCATGGAACCTGGGTGCACATCACTGTTGTGAGCAGAGAGGGTGTGTGTGGGAAAAGATGCAAGGATGAGCAGGAGGGCTTCAAAGATGAGCTCAGTTTGGGACTTATTAAATCTGAGATGTCTAATGACAAGCCACATCCAGAGGGGAACTGACTGTGTTTCAACATGTCTGAAGCTCCGGGGACACTTGTGGATGGGTATGGAGTCAGCACATGATGGTAACTCTTGCATCAACCTACTTTCTCCATCCCCACTGCCCTACCTTAGTCTGCACCCCTCTACCTCACACCAGCCTTTTCACTGGTCTGGCTGCCTTTAAACTCACCTCCCTGGAGCCCATTTTCTGAAATTCAGCAGCTTGAAGGATCTTTTCAAAGGCAAAGCTTACCTTATCACCTCCTACAGAAAACCCTTTCATGGCTTCCCATCACCTTCAGCATAGAGCTCAGGCCACCTGACATGGCTTCCCGACTCCTCCTTGGACTTGCCTTCCTTCTCCAGCCTCTTCTCTTACCCCTCCACCTCAGAGTTTATGCTGTAGCTCAAGGGCAGCATCCTATAGAACTCATTGGGCATGGTGCTCCCTGGAGTTCAACATCGCAGCAGCCCTGAGTGGTGGAACATGGGTCCACGGCCAGAGTCTAATTGTAAGAATCAAATACTAGACAAAGCAATGCTACTGAATGAAACCATGACTCAACCAGGCTTTTATTTTCTAGGCTTGTGCACCTTGCCCTCAGAGAGGACTATGATGGCAGACATCATCAAGAGGAACAAACAAAAGATTGACCTGTAAGAATGTGTTTCTTAACATTCTTTATCTAGAGCAGTGTTTCTCAAAGCATAGGTTTAGGACCACCTGTAGGAACCACCTAGCTGCTCGTTACAAAAGCAGACTTCCGAGCTCCACCCCAGACCAACCGAATCAGAATCTCCGGATGAGACTGGACATTTGTATTTTCACGTTCTTCCTAGGTGACTCTTCTACATAGTGGTTAAAAAACCAACTACTTAAAGATAGGACTTTTAACAAATCAGAACATTTTCCCCTTGACTTAATTTCCATTTTATAAGATGCCCATGTTAGATTCCATGTCTTCTCAAGCCGCCCACATTCTGTGTTGGAGAGGAAACGGGATCGGGACAATGGTGGTGACCTATCTCTGGAAAGTTAGCTGGGGGGGGGGGGGGGTCTCCAATCCAAGTAAATTAGAAAAGAGGTTGGTGTGAATCCTGAAGGTTCGAATACCCTTGGAAAGTTGACCTGGAGTCTTACATCACATGAAGGGATTACCTCATGGTCAAATTCTAATCCACCTAACATTCACTGAGCATTATATGCCAGCCTGAGAGCCAGGTACTTGAATAAGTTAACAGGCAAATTCTAAGGGTCTCCTCTGTGTAAGACATTGATGTAGGCTTCTGTCCGTGTTACCTCACGCACCTTGGCAGCGATCCTGACCAACTGGCACTCTGCTGAGTAAATATCAAATAATAATCATGGTTGTAAATTGTGTTACATGCCTAGAACTTCCATGTGTGTTCATGGTTATTTGTGGGACAGCCTCGGAAATGGGAGCCTCTGGTGAGATAAGCCAACATTTTCTACCCAAGAGTCTCTAAAAACTCACCCATTCTTTCGATAGCTACTGAACACCTAATGTCTGCATGTAACTTCGAACATCCTGTGAATCTGCCCTTCTCGCTTTCTTCATTTAGGTTTGGCAAGAGCCAAAGCCAGATATTGCAGACCAATTACGTCGATTACTTGGACGAGCTCGCCTTAGAAATAGGTGCGAAGCCAGACCTCCTCTCTCTCGTCTTAGAAGACCCTAAACTGGCTGTGAAGCTCTACTTCGGACCCTGCAACTCCTATCAGTATCGTCTGGTGGGGCCTGGGCGGTGGGAGGGAGCCAGGAATGCCATCCTCACCCAGAAACAAAGGATCCTGAAGCCGTTAAAGACACGCACTCTGAACCCTTCTCTCAAGTCCCCATTCTCCTTCCTGTTGAAAATCCTGGGGCTTCTTGCTGTTGTGGTGGCCTTTTTTTTCCATCTTCAGTGGTTCTAATCTGTTGGTCTAGTGCTTTTGGCTTTATTGTCAGTCAGAACCTCTTCCCGAAAAGAGAAAAAATAAAAGGCTAAAAGAAAAAAACAATAAATCTATATTCTAAATCTTAGAGTTGAGAACAGCGTTAGAAGGATAACTGTGGAAAATTAGCAGAACAACGTCTACGCACAAAACCAAAACTGGGTCATGAAATGTCATTGCCGTTGTACCCTTTCCTCCAGTTCACCAGGCTTTCCAGAAAGGACAATGAAATATTGCAGGCTAAATAGTGCTGCCAGCCCTGACGTAGGCGAGCTATGCGGAAAACAGCAGCATTACACAGAACGGACAGCAGGCCCCTTGGCTTCAGAAAATTTAAGTGGTGGGTAAATATTTGAACTCCTGTGCGATGTTCTGGACAGTTTTGCTGTCCAGACTCTATTTGGTGACAAAGTCCTCAAACACGAGGTCCTGCTCCGTTTACTTGGTGGGGAAACACTCAAAAATGCTGGAGAGAAAAATGAGGCTAGACTTTAAAAGAATGGCCATGCTCAGATGGACTTTTAGGGTTTCATAGCGAAAGCGGAGCATGTCTTACATTTTTAAATATTTTCTTCTATTTCTTAAATTTTATTCTTATATTTTGACAGAAACACTGCTGTAAAGCTAGAATTAAACATGCCATAACAGCTATATGTATAGTTATTACTTATCACAGACCAGACGTTGTGCTCTGCGCACAGTATACATACATTATATTACTTCATTCTGTGAGATACGTGCAGCCATTATACCCATTTTGCAGAAATGAAGGTGAGACTCAGAGCAGCCGGGTAACAGGCAGAAGATGATACAGCTGGGATTGGAACTGGATACGCTTGACCCTAGAACTAAAGATTATTACTTTGCCCTATAATACACTTATTTACAGAAACCTCCAGTATTGATAAAGTACTTAACAGTCTTATTTTATTTATAATTCTATATATGCTATTTTTGGAGGATCTTGACATAAAACGCAGCACTCCAATTAATTTTATTTATAATATTTGTATTGCAGCTAGATCTAAAAAAGCATTTGGAGGAATTTACAGTGACAGACACTCATACAATACCATTTATAATAATCGTCAACATTTGGGAAAACAAGCATCGCGGGGGAAAGTATATTCCCCATGTAGATGAAAAGCGTTATAATGACTGAACCTTGTATTTAGCACTAACCGTACAGAGAACCAAGCCAAAGGCCAAACCTATATGGAATCTTTGTCATCTGATAAAAGCAAGCATATCAGTTTGTCAGGAGACAAATTTTCTTGGAACTGAAGTCCAAAAAAGATAGATGCAACTCGGTGTCGATAGACATTGAGCAACTTAATAGATAAGCAGCTGGTTATGGGACATTCACTACAGCTGTTCTTTCTATGGACTGGGCTTTGGGAGATAAACTATGCTGCAAGCCCAGACCCAGGGCTTCACAGAGGCCAAAGATCAGAAATTAAAAGATTTAGGCAAACCTCTGCTCTTAATCCTCCAAAGCTTCTGTGGACATTGTTCTTCGCTTTGACCTGCACATCTCCCCCAAAAGCCTAAAACAATGGGGTGGCAAGCTCTGTCCCTGCAAAGCTTTTTCTTTAAGGTCCACTGAAATGACATCAGCATTTAAATGCGAGATTTTGTTTTCATTGCTTCTATTAGCAGTGTCCTTTGAAAAGCATTGCAGATGGCGTATGGACTTAGTTCTTCATTAAAAACTGAATACTTTGCTAATTACTGAAGATTAGTTGCAAGCCATTACATTAATAATAATGGAATTTATCAAGCCTTTATAGCAAGCGTAGGCAAACTACTATCGGTAGTTAGGAATAGGCTTGAGGAGTTGGGGAACAGCTGTTACAGGACAGAAGTCTCAGAGCATGGCCCTGCTCTGACCCGAGTTCTTTCCAGTCTGTGCTGGTTTGTTCCAGGGGGCGAAGTGGGCATACTCACTCCCCCCATTGCCACCCAGCTCAATCGACTATCTCTGATTATTCCTGAAATGCACAGCTCACTTAAGGATATTGTATCATTATGCAGTCTGTGCCAGTATCCATGTGCTAGGAAGGGGTGTGTGTGTGTGTAAGAGAGAGAGACAGACAGAGAAAAGGTGGGGGATGGGGGGGCATGGCAGATGTACAAATAAAGGGCTGGATACAAGTCTGACAGCACCAATGAACATGGCTTCCTAGGAAACATATAGGTGAGTCACACTGGAAACAGTTAAAAAAAAAAAACAGCAGTGGGTAACCGACACAGAGTGGAACTCAGATGTAGGATAATTTGCGTTTTCCTGACACCAATATGTAAGGTCCATAGTCAATTAAAAACCAATACCCAGAAGGTGAGACTCTCACCAGAGGTTCCCAAGCTTTCTAGGTTCAAGGGCCCTCCAGTGTGTAGCCCTCAGCGAGTCAGCCTTTTGCAGTGCCCTCAGGCTATTGTTTCTCTTATGAAGTCGTCAGGTCCAAATAACTTACATATTTCTGTTTTTACAACTTTGTAGTTGTTTGGGGAAAAAAAAATAATACACAAATTGAAAGAAAAGGGATACTTTAATTTTACTCTTGAATAATCACAATTCCTTAACAAGGAGGTACCGGTATATGTGCTTGCTGGGCCCTGCACAGATTCCCAACTCTAGGGACCAGGCCACACAGTGTCCCTTCATTTCCTGCTCCACCTAGACCAGCTTTCATGCTGCACTGGCTTCTGAACACTGCAACTGCCCAAAACCTGACTTTGCAAAGGTGTGACATCACTGAATGGAACACAGCCCTACCTGATATTAAGGCTGCGAATGGCCCCCAGCTAATATTTTGCTCAACAGACATGGAGTATTACTGTGCTTCCCTTGAAGTTTTAAAATAACTCAGAGCACCGCAGTACACAATTTTGGGAGTGCCCAACCTAGCTTCATATCCTGACCCCCTATACCATCCCAACAGGCCAAAGTGGGCGACTCCGTCGGACTTCAGGACGTGACATATTTGCACTTTACTTCTTTGAAGGAGAGAAAGCAATATAAAATGCCCAGGAAAAGAGTAGTAGTTTCTAGTCCCGTGGTTACAAATATTAACTATTATGCAACCAACAGTGAATGCCCGGCTCATGCAGTAATGCTGTGTTGCTCAAGTTATTTCACTTGTCATTTTTATAAATTCACCTTCATCCAGTGACACCTACCTCACCGATGTAGTCATTGTTTCTTAATTTTTATTACTTACTTCCTTCACATTGAGTCAGTTTTGAGGAGGCTTTCTTCATTAAAATAATAAAAATAGTAGTAATAGGAATAAAACACGCTGCTTTTGAAACCTCCAACAGAGGAATGGACACATTTCTATTGAATATTCACACAAGGAGCAACAACATTACAAATGTTATTTTTGCAACAGCATGCAAAATAGCACTCCAGTAACTAGTGGCATTGGTGTATTTTTCGCCCTGATAAAATTTCCTGCTGTGTTACCCATCATTCTGTCTAAAAGTATAGGAGCCGCCAACTGGAAATAAATTTTAGTTGAAAAAAATAAAGGAAGACAAAACTTTTTCTAAAAGGCATTTACTAACCCTTTTAATCACCTTAGTTTTATATAATTACAATACCTGAACAAGAGATTGGATACATTGATTTTTATCCACATGTGATGGCAGTATTTACCTTGTGTGCTTATGTTTTTTAGTGTTTGCTTTTGCAAATATGGGAACAACTCAAATGAAACCCTCCTGACACACCCAGCAGATTTGAAGTGAGAAAGGGAAGAAAGAAAGAAAGGAAAGGAAAGGAAAGAAAGAGAGAGAGAGAGAGAGAGAGAGAGAGAGAGAGAGAAAGAACCCTTAAGAGTGACTTTGAAACCTATTTTGTGCTCTTCTTTTTTCTTTTTCTGTCTTTCCCTTTCTGTCATCATCTGTCTTAACATTTCCCTACTCATCTCCCTCACTTGCTAAAAGACAACCTTTAGATACAGATTTCTAGTTTTCCCCAATGGCTCTGATTCCAAATGTGCTGTAACTTTGTCTCTGTAAATAAACCCCAAATTATCAAGGTGGATAGCCACAAAAATATCAAATTAAAGACAAATCTCCTGAAGATGTGACCATAACCTAGCAACATCTTTTGGGGGCCTAGCGTGTCCCAAGACTGTGCTAAATGCTTTTTGTACATCAGTTGGTTCGTTGTTACAGCATGTTCTACCTCCAGCTTCGTTTTAGAAAGAAGGACACACAATATCAGCTCCTGGGGAAGGGGGATAATTTTTTCTCCCATCTTTCTAAGCTCTTCTGGCTGAGCTAATAATCAAAGGAGCATGAGACAGATTAACAGGAGAAAATGTCTAAATGTATTACATATGCACATACGGGGTTTCCATAAGAACATAAGCCCCTAGGACAAACAGGGCCGTGGAGGCTTATAAGCCCTTTTGAGCTAAGGAGAAGGTGGGGGTTGAGGTTTGGGACTTCAGAGGGCAGGAGGCCAATGCACATGGAGACGGAAAAGCAAATGTTTGGCAAATAAATGTTTGCTGGGTCATCTCTAACAACCAGGAGGACTTTGATCAAAGGGCCCTTGCTAGGTTCCTCTCTGTCCATCCACACGCTAGCTCATGTTAAACTGTAGTTACCTGTGATGACAGCTCCCTTTCTGGAGCAGGTCCTCTATCTAAATTCCTTTGAAAGCAGGTAGGGGGTAAGTCAAAACAGTTTTCCTGAGTCTTTCCTTTCTTAAAAATACCCAGCCAAAAACAATCAGTATCCCAAAGACGCATCTTTTGGAGTGGCACACTCTGCTTCCCCTCACTTCCCCAAAATACGTGCTCAATTAATTTTCCTCTCATTGAAAAGGAGTTAAGGTGATGACTTCAATTCATTTTACCCATCAGAAAATCAACCCGCTGCCAAATATTTATGCAACAATTATTAGAGGCCAAATGTGCTGCTAGGAGCTGTGAGAAAACAAGACAAGTCAAAGAAAATGCCCTACTTTGGGGGAACACAGAGCCTTACGTAGAGAGACCAACAGATATGATCAGGTGAATGCTCACTATAATGTTCTTGTGGGGAAACACACTATTTCCTGTAGGGGTCAAGAAAATGGCAACCTTACCAGGGTGACAAGCAGACATGGCTGCCTCCGGGGACCATCTCTCATGCTCCCGTCTCCAGAGCCCACTTCCTCGCCTTCTCTGTCTGTTGGGGTTCTACTCATCCTTCAAAACCTGCAGCAGTATTCCTGTGTTGCTTTCCCACCACCCCAAAATCAGAGTTAGCACCTCTTGCTACCCGCTCTTATTGCAATGTGTACGTCAGACGTATCTCCGTCTTAGCACCTGACACAGAACATTGCAATTATTTTCGAGCCTGACTTTCCCACCACATTCTAGAGAACGCATCGTGCCTTATTCACCTGTTGCTCCCCCAATACCTCACCTAGAACTCAGCAACACAGAAGACCCTTGTCCAGTGGCTGGTGGCTAAATGAAGCCGAGAGTGAATCATAGAATCTGAGTTGACAGGGCCTCTAGGCATTGGAGTCCACCCTCTATGTCATCTATTAATCTCTCACTTACAATATCTCCAAAAAAAAATCATCATATGAACGCTGCCTGAACAAAGCAAAGAGCAGAGCTTGGCATGCTGGAAAGTGCTTATATCGAGCTGAAATCTGCCTCCCTGTATCTTCTTCGTGCGTGGTGGGCAGGTAGGCATGGAAAGCCAACCCCTCATCACCATCAGAGACTGCTGCCCCTCCAGGGAACATGGCAGTGTCACCATGGGGCAGGTGGAGGACTGTCTGACCCCAGGCTGTGAGAACGTTGGGAGGTAGCAGCTAAGCACCCAGGCTTTGGACCAGATGGCTGGGTTAAAGTTTAGCTCTGCCAGTGGCTGCTGTGCGATTCGGGGCAAGTGATTTAACCCCTCTGTGCATCACAGAAATGGAGAAAATCGTAGTAGTTTTCTTGTAGTGTTTTGTGAGAATCAGGTCTTAGAGCTGTTCCTGGCCCATAGAAAATGCTTAATAACTATGACCTGTTGTGACTGTCCTAGAAAACATTGTCCGTAATAGGTTTCTTCTGCCTTTCCCATCACTGAGTGCCTGCTCTTTTAATTCCGGTAGCATTTCACACTAAATCATGTGACTTTTTGATGCTGTTCCCTACCATGTTTCTGTGACCATTTTATCTCCCCAAGTTAGTAGGTTTTTTAAAGCACAAAGGTCATAGAATAGATGGAAAAAGTGCCCCTAGCATGGCTCCGCTGACACCAGAGTAGAAGGGCAGCACAGGGAGATGTCATTTCCTTGGAGAGAGGCTAGTTGCGCTTGTCCTGCCATAGTGTCCAGAGCAGGTGTCCCGGCTGGGAGGAAAGGACCCCTGGTATAGCGCGGACCAGTGTTGCATACTTCCTTAACTAGGATGCTGTAGTTTCAGATACACGCTGCCTGATGGAAAGCAGCAGCCTAGTTCAGTGAGATGAAATGCATGCACTCCAACGGTTCGCCTGGTCCGAGCGAAGACCCGCCAGGGACCTGGCTGCCTGTGAGTGGACCATGGGAACCTTGGGCAAGGACACGGACCGTCTTGGGTTCACTTTGCAAAAGGGGCTGTTGGTACTGACTCTTATATCAGGGGCCGGACACAGTACTGTAAACATCTGCCTTTTCAAACATTGGAAGGATCACTGCGGAGAGGAAGATGAGAGTGATGAGTAAAAATCCGTGTCTGCTAAGGTGGCACTTGCCTGGTCTGCGGCTCTCGTGCCTTCTGGAGTTAGTGAAGGGGGGCTGGAGGCAGCAGCACTGTCCAGAATGCAAAGGTCTGTCCACCAAAAGGTCCCAGTTCAGCCCCTCGGCCCAAAGCTACAGCCCCGGCAGCAACTGCACAACATTTGGTACCAGCTACAAGTGAGCAGAGGGAGGGCGCGGGGAGGAGGGGAAGGGGAGTGGGGGAGGTATACCAAGCACTGTTTTCAACCAGTGACCGGACCGTTTCTCTTCTCACATTCACAACATCAGAGACCAGCTACAGGCGATTCGATAGGAGCAAATCCCTTAATCTTCCAAATCTTTTTTCTGGTTTGCTAAGCAGGCAAGAATGGGGTGGGGCTTCCACTTGTGAAAGAAAAAAGAAAAGAACTTCTGCTGGATGTTCCCTACACAGGAGAACATGGCCAAGCGAGTGGCAGTTGTGGGAGCCGGGGTCAGCGGCCTGGCCGCCATCAAGTGCTGTCTGGAGGAAGGGCTGCAGCCCACCTGCTTCGAGAGGAGCGACGACCTTGGGGGGCTGTGGAGATTCACCGTAAGTGGGGCTTTGCAACCACTTTGTTATGTGTCTATTGAGAAAAGGGCTTGTCCTTGTCCACGGCAAAAAAGGAGATTGGATTTCTTTCACAAAGGCCAGCTGCCCTGGGGAGGGGCTAGGACTGAGGCATGTCTGCTGAACAGGGGGGCCAGGAAGGACCGCTAAAATTGATCCAGGAAAGAAACGGGGCACAGCCTGAGCTCAAGTGGGAGGTGTGTCAGCCGCCATACAAACTGTAAAGCAAGATGCTCAGGAAGGCTGGAAGAGGATGGGGTGCCTGGGACAGGCCAGGAAAGCCGCAGATATGGGGAGCAGGAGCAGAACCAGGGGCTGCAGGGTTTGGGGGCAAAGGTGTAAACACAGTGTGGGCATTTCAGCCTCTGCAGCTCTGGACGGCATGCGTCTGCTCCTTTTTCCAGCCCTGTTAGAGCTGGAGGAAAATGACACAGGGCTGGCTGGGTGCAGAGTGAGTTCTAGCCTCAGGGTCCCGCTTCCCAGACAATCCCAGCCCATGCCGAGAGCAATCACAAGGCAAGAATGTGGGTTTGGAGCCTGTTTTGTTTCTTGAGCAAAAGAAAGTCATAGTTTCAAGTCTCCGCGGGGACTATGGTCTGGACTGGGAAGGAGGTTGGCTGAGGCAGGAGAGCAGGGGATTATAAAGCCCCCAGTTAACTGGCCCAGGGCCCAGGGGCGTCACAGGGGCCTTGTGGAGGCTCCCTGAAACTCTGTATGCCCCATGCATCCGCCCGGGAACATGTGCATCAGATGTCCCCAAACCTCTTATTTTCCCTCCTTCTCAGGAAGGCACAAACATTTCCTGTGTAGTTTAAACGTGCTGAGGAGAAAGTTGATGGGAACAGCGAACCAGGGTGTGGAGTCAGATATCCTGGCCTCAGAGCCGCTAAGGGGCTAGAGAAAGACGGAGCTTTCCTCTAGGATAACAAGGCTGAGGTTTGGACCCGGAATAAAGTAACGGTTTTCTAACTCAGTGAGCAAAAAGCTCCAGCGGGGCCAAGGTTGCGAGTTTAGTCACCGTTCTTCCAGCACAGGCCAACTTGGCTCACATACAGAACTGTAGATATGGGGGCCGGCCGAGTGGCTCAGCTGGTTAAGAGCACGAGCTCTGAGCAACAGCGTTGCCGGTTCGATTCCCACATGGGCCAGGGAGCTGCGCCTGAGCTGAGCTGCCGCTGAGCTGCCAACAGGTGGCAGGATGGCTCAGCTGCTGAGAGCACGTGCTCCTAACAACAAGGTTGCCGGTTTGACTCCTGCATGGGATGGTGGGCTACGCCCACCCACAACTAAGATTGAACACAGCACCTTGAGCTAAGAGGCCGCGAGCTGCTCACGGGCGGTCGGATGGCGACTGGACTTGGAGCTGAGCTAGCTGCGCCCTCCACAACTAAGACTGAAGGACAACAATTTGGCTTTTCTCCTTCCCCAACACTGTTCTCCTTCCCTAACACCCCAATAAAGTCTAAAAAAAAAAATAGAACTGTAGATCTGGAAATGTGTCCAACCACCGAACGTGACCACCAACGCCTAGAGACCGACCCTAGGGGACGAGGTGAATGAGTGCAGTTGTTCCCATGATTCAAGCTGCATATGTTCCAATAGGATAGCAGAAACCCGACACCCATGACACCATAACTCTCCCCTCCCACGTCCACTGAAGACATTGCTAATCAAGCATGATACCCTTCCCCAGGTAAGCCTCAGATGCCTTCTTAACACAGTGCTCCAGAGAAGCACTGCTAATCCATCAGAGGGGGGTCTGAAACTACCCAATTAGAGGGGCAATTAGCAGAGTTATTTGGTTAATCTGCCAAAGTGAAAAGTGAGCCCAGAGACCTTGAGATACCAGGCAAAAATGTTCTTTATATAGGGGACAGACTTATATATACACACAAAAATAATCACTGATGTAGGAGTTAAGAGAAATCAGTTCTAGATCCAGCTGTGCCCAGCTAGCTGTGTGACTTGGGCAGGCCAAACATCTATGCACAGAGCACTGTGGGGAACACAAAACCGAGAGGGATTCACCCTGCGCTCCGGGAGCTGTGGGGCTGGTGGGAAAAGGGCAGGATCCGACAAGTCAGAAACGGGGCTACGGGCGTTTAAATGAGGTCAGGATTACATCCACTTGAGGGAAACCAGGGAAGGCTTCATGGAAGAGATGGTATGTGATGGACTGAAAGGTTTCAACAGGCAGAACAGATCGAGGGGGAGACATCAGGGAGGGAACCAGGAAAGAAAAAGGACTGGGCATGCTTGGAAAATAAAAGTAGCTTATTGGTGTATGTGATACATGTAAGAGAAATAATGGGGGGGGGGGCGAATGTTTGGATAAGGGATTCACGCTCAATTTAGAAAGCAATGGATACCGAGGAGCAAGATTAAGGAGATTTGTTGCGGTGGTTGTTGATATGCTTGTGGGAGAACCCAACTATGTTTACAGGTAGAGAAAGCACCTGGGTGGTAGGAAATGGTTGAATCCATAAGCCCTAACTGGGACACACTCCTAGCAGCAAAGGGAAGGAGTGGAATCACAGGCCCCAGTGGAAGGGTTCACCTTGGCTCCCCACTTCCTCAGAAACTGGAGGGGAAGGAAAACAAAAGGAAACGTGAGCATGGAAGAGAAATGTTAAGATGGAGGGAAAAGAAGATCGAAGAGCACACGCCTCAGAGGCCCCGGCTCTTTCAGGAACATACGGCAGCTGTGGAGGGCGAAGGAGAGGAGGTGAAGAGTTAAGAAAAGTGGAGAAGGCCACGGAAACATATTGCATGTGATAGGACATCAAAAGGATGGGAAGGGGCGGATCCAGCAGTAGCCAGCGAAAACGGCGCCCAATTAAAAAGTCATTCCAGCCCTCATTGCCTCATTTATAAAATGAGAACACAGAACCAGTTTTAAAAATAAATAGAAGTTGAATAACTAGGGGGCTGGGATGCAGGGAAAACCACCCCCACCTCCATTCGGCACCCCCTCTTGACACAGCGGCCTCTGTAAGCATCTCTGTACTGCCTTTAGATTCCCCTAGAATCTGATTAACAACCCCTAAGCTAGGTGGCCGTGCAGGGGCCTTCCCGCCTCTAGCTAGGGGTCTCCTAGCCTTTCTAGAGACCTGCTGTCTCCCTCTACCCCAACCCATGCACACGTGCACATACACACCACAAAAGGTTGGCTGGAGGCATCTTTGCACTCAAAGCAGGTGGCCCCTTCCTCAAAACCTGCTCTTGCAAAGGCTGTGCTCGTCAGAAAGCATACAAGTGGGGCCCTTTGTCCCTGCTCTCGGCAGAAGGAGCCGTACCACAAAACGAAACAGGCAAAATGCAGAAACCCAGTAACGCACATGGGGCCACTTTCCATCCCCCCAAAATTAGAGAGATTATAAACTACTGCACTTAATTTAACGCTCACAAAGGCACGAACCTGGTCTCTTCCAGCGATCACAGCCTTAAGCAAAGAGGAAACCCACAAAGGTTGCAATGGAAAAGAAAGGCCACCATTCACTGGGGCGGGGAGGGGGTGGCGGCCTTTAAAAAAGGGGCACGTTGGTAATGAACCCACTTGTGACCACCAACTCAAGAGGTGGCAGGAGGTCTGTTCCACAACCGACTCTGTCAGGCTCTCAGGAGGGAAGGGAGGCTTAGGACAGTAACACTATAGGTTCCTGACCTCGATCGTAAGATAATACGGAAGAAATTGTCCTGTCGCCCAAAATGAATATTGCTCTTGGAGCACCTTAGTACGGGAAGGGGCCTTGAGACACGGCCTTCAGGTCGCACCACGCTGACGCCATCTAGAGGTCGTTCCACTCTGTGGCCCTGGTAGGAACACATTACGCTTTACCCTTCTCATCCCTGTGACACATTCAGGGACCTAACAACCCTCCCTAGAATGATGTCCTTCCTTCTGGGCCTCGAGGACTTTTCCTCCACACACACACACCCTTTCGTTTACTCAACACACACTGATTGAGCACCTACTGTGTGCCATATGTACCGTACATGTTTTAGATGCAGTGAGGGCGAGGGTGAGGTACAATACTTCACCCCTAAATCGCCGAGGAGTGATTTGTGCGCAGTGAGGGGTGCTCCTAATAGCGATTTCTACTCGAAGCTTGGTAAGCCTGATTCTTACTCTTTCTCTAACAGCCTTATTTCTAAAAGGTCGGTCATCTGGGTAGGTTTCCTTTTAGTCACGTGTTCAACAATCACTTATTGAATTCCTATTATCTTCAAGGGGGTACAGCGGGCAGGCCCCCGCCCCTTTGGGGGTGTCTAACATCTCTTCTGGGGTTTGCCCAGCTCTCCAGCATCACAGATCAGAGAGCCGAACACTGTCCTGCAGTCAGCCTGACTCTCACTAGAGGGACGGTGGCAAAGTAAAATGGGCTCAGGCTGCTCAAAAAGAGGGGAAGAGGAAGGTAGTAACTGTTCTTGGAGAAGAAGAGGTGTGAATGTCCAGCACAGAGAATGTCCCCGCTGGGGAGTGACTTTTATTGTCATTTTACACCTATTTTGAAAGTGAGAAGAGAGAGCCTCTGACCTGATAAAGCTTTCTTCCCATTGCCCATAATCCTCCCTGAAGGCCACGAAGCTGGAGAAAATAAATCTCGTGGTGGCTGTAGAAGGAGAATATGACAGTTAACGGTGAGGGGGAGCTTACCAGGCACTGCTGTAAATGCATCATAGCTGTCATTTCAGTTTATCCTAAGGGACATGTACGGTTATAATTCCTACTTGTAGCTGAGGCAACTGAGACACAAACAGCTTAAGAACATGTCCCAGGTCATCAGCTAAAAGCTCAGAGTTTCAGTCTGAACCCAGGTGGTGTGACTTTGGGTCTGTCCCGCCGAGAAGTGCACTTCATGTGTTTCCAGGGTGTGTGGCCCAGCTCAGGAATGAGGGCAGGCACATCCTGGACCGTCCACGGGCTCTCATGCAGTGTCCTAGTGGATGGCGGTGACCTTCACCTTGTATTATAGGGCAAAATGAACCAGGAAGCCAGACACCACTCCATTCAATCTCTTTCTCTTTCCCTCTCTCCACAGTCCATCCCTCCACCACCCCCCAATCATTTTTACCTTCATCCATTTTCAGGAGGCATGTGCTTCTATACTCAGAGTGCCAGGGCAACTGGCAGACCCACACAGGCACAATGCCAGGAGTGCCTTGCAGCTGGGGTCCCCACCAGCCTGGGGACCACTGGGGCACATTGTCCACTGAGACAAACACTGGAGGGCAGGGCCAAGAACCCACATCCCCCTTTAGAAGTGGCCTGGACCCCATACTCCCTGTATGGATGCTAAACACTCCAGACCTGGTGTTTTTCCACGAGAAACAATCAATGGTAGGAAAGAGAGACTGCAGCAAAGAGATGGCGCTGGCTTCCACCCGAAGGGCTGTTTCCACTCTGGGCTACAGTTCCTCCCCACTAACATCTGTGATACATTATATCACAATAGGCTTCAGTGTTGCCCGGAAGGTTCTCTTCTCCCTGTCTGTACAATTACCTTCCAAAGTTTTGCAAAACAGTTATTTGGGGTTTTTTTCTTTATTTTTGTTTGTTCATTTGTTTTAAAGTCCCATAAAATACATGTATCCCTGATTTATGCAATTCCAATGAGTTCCCATTACTCTTTGATATCCAAACGTGCCATTAACAAAATGTTTTAAATTTTTTGAACTATTTTTACGGAAATCTTTACATCATGTACTATGCACATCTCACCCTCCCCCCCCCAACAATATATATTCCTAGTTTAGCCTTTTATTACTGTTAATTCGAAATTGATAGTATTAAGAGAGTATTATTGACTATGTCATGTTCTCATATGCCAGAGAAAAGTGAGGGAGCTTTGGCTACATACTAATTGACCCCAAAATGACTGATTTTATAACTGATGTTTTCCCCCTTATACAGACAAGAAAAAAGTTCTAAGATGTCCTCAAATTACACCAGGCCAGAGGGTGGATGGGAAGGACGAGAGAGGTTAATCAGTTAACAACTTCTGGGCAAAACCAACAAAAGACTGATGACATTCCTGATTGCATGTTAAAACTCTGAGTTAACTTCCAGGATCGACAGGCACCTCTGCTTCTTGCTTACGCACAAACTCTGCAGACTGTTTCCCACCGCCAGTCCTCAAGAGTAAACCCTTCTCCTTACAGACTACACACCTATCCCAGAACCAGCCCCACTTCACCTTCTCCCACCCCCTTCATCTGTAGTCAATGTAATTGTTTCAAAACAACTTACATCTTTCTTCACCAAACTGCTGGCATAAAAGAGCCTGGTCAATCCCAGGATGGTGGACCTGCTGTCACCTCCATCCAGCCCTGCTGGTGGTGGTTTAGATTGCATGCCCCAGGACCTGGTCCTTTTCTGGCTAGCATATATAGCTTAATAAACTCTTTCTTTTAGAAAAGATTTCAGCTATGAAGATTTCTATTTAACAATACTATAGCTTCTTCCTTTGCTGTTTGCTCTCACTTCTCAATACTACAGCTCTTCACATCTGTTCCTATTGTGGTTTTTTTCCCTATAACCCAGAGGAAACTTGTTGACTTTAAATCAAAGCAAACCAACACTAAGCTTAGTTCTAATGTTTCAAGTTTAAGGGTGTTCTTCAAGCTCTGCGAGCCAATAAAGTGGCTGTTGACCTAATAACCATCCAAAATTGTAGAGAATTTTTATGAGTTTATTTCAGCCTGACAACAATTGCCAGGAAGCAAAATCTCAATGGATTGAGGAGACGCTCTGGATAATGGCAGTTCTGCAGCTGATTTTCTACATTAGAATCAAACGAGGAGGCCTAAGGAGGGTGAACCTGAAATCCATGAGTAGTAGAGTAAGGGAGTGGGAGAGAGCAAAGTGGAGAAATCTCTAGGATTGGATAAAAAGTAAGATGGAGAGACACATGCCTCTTTTACATTGGCAGGTGCAGGACAGTTAGTCATTCACGTTTACAGCACACAGAGTTGGTGTGTGGGGAACAAGAAAACAACGAATGGTTCTGTGGTTTCGTGCTCCGCTGTGATGTGTGTGCCTTCAAAGGGTAGGAAAGAACAATGACTGACATTCCACAGGCACGTTATCCTAGATGCACAGGAACAGTGGGCAGGCTCACTTAAGGCAAAGACTGACCTTTGCTGAGGTGGCTATAGGCTGGGATGTGACACACATGCACACACACACACTCCTGCTCACGTGTGGGCACTGTTTGTACAGGACCATGTCGAAGAAGGCAGAGCCAGCCTCTACAAGTCGGTGGTTTCCAACAGCAGCAAGGAGATGTCTTGTTACTCAGACTTTCCATTCCCAGAAGATTACCCAAACTATGTGCCAAATGCTCAATTCCTGGAATATCTCAGAATGTATGCAAATCGGTTCAACCTTCTGAAATGCATTCAGTTCAAGGTAAGACACAGAACATCCGTTCCGTTAGTAGTCTTGTTTCCCTCCCTTATCAGAGATGGGTATGTTGAGGAATTAACACAGAGAAAGCAACATGAATGGAAAGATTGACCAAAATAAGTAGCAAATAAGATTTGCATTCACAACCTTAAAAGTACTCGTGATCAAAACAAAATCACTGTCTCTAAGAGATATGTGCACCCCCATGTTCACTGCAGCATTATTTACTAAGGCCAAGACATGGAAACAACCTAAGAGTCCACTGATGGATGGATGGATAAAGAGAATGTGATATATAATGGAATATTGTTCAGCCATAGAAAAAGAAGGATATCCCACAATTTGCAGGAACATGGATGGATCTTGAGGGTATTATTATGCTAAGTGAAATAAATCAGACAGAAAGACAAATACCGTATGATCTTATTTAAATATGGAATCTAAAAAACTGAACTAATAGAAAGAATAGATCACTGGTTACCAGAGGTGGCTCAATTCTATTTCTAGGGTTATGTTCATGAATTATATCTAGTCTGTGCTCTAGAATGTTTGAAATATCTACTGGCCCATCAGCCAGCAAGCCTTTACTGGAACCTTGACAACTATTAATCATGACATCTACGATTCTTTTTTCAGACTAAAGTCTGCAGTGTAAGCAAACGCCCAGATTTTACCGTCACCGGCCAATGGGAGGTGGTCACTCTGCGTGAAGGGAAGCAAAAGTCCGCCATCTTTGATGCTGTCATGGTTTGCACTGGTTTTCTTACTGACCCATATTTGCCACTGGACTCCTTTCCAGGTACAGCATTGTCTGCAACTAACCTTATTTTGTCTCCTGGGAGCCCTCCAGGTACTCGATGGGCCTGGGTATGAATCCCTATGTCTCCTCCATTACATAAAGCTGTGAGGTAACACGGGTTTTTATTAGCCAGCCAGTTTCTGGCCAGTTTCTTGGCTTTCATAGGTTCCAAACAACCCATGAGTGCCAAAGAGTAGGATGAATAACTAACGAGCAGCTTTATACTTCGCTGAGGTTCAATGTCCCTCCTTAAGTGACTGGCAGCACTTGGAAAGTCTTCTAAGACACGGGATGCTTAGACAAGTTGGGAGTTTAAGCACGTTGCCAGTGTTGAGTTTAGGGGCCTCAAAGGTCAATCAGTGAACAAAGGAAAAAGAAATTTGTTTGTTTGTTTATGAGTTATAGCAATTAACTAGATCAGAGGTTTATGGCATTAGATCACTAGTCAACAGGGAGATAAGTCTTAGGAGGCAAGTTAAGACATCTTTGTGTCTCAGTTCCTCTTTCTGCCTTTTGCAACCATGAATCATGTTAATCTATGTCAAATGTCAATTGAACTGCAACTCAGGGGGTATAGAAAATGCAGTGGTATGATTTATTTTATCTGCAGAAAACGTTCAAAAAATTAAAGAATTCAAAAAGTTAAAACTTTAGAAAGTGTTTTTCTCAACATGTCCTGTACTGATCCCAAGGCTATTTGTCTAATAAACTCACGAACTTCCAATCATCCTTGGTTACTCAAGTTAGGTCAAGTTAAGATATCCTAAAAACTGCCCTAGAAGAGAATCACTGAAGGAAAGCATCAAGTTTAGGCTTCTTCCCAGTGCAGGAAACTCTTCTCCAATATCCCTGAGAGACGCTCAACAGCCTCTGCTTGAACACGTTCAACAGTGAACTCGCACTATTCCACAAGACAACCCAATCCTTCGTCAGCTGTTTTCAGCACAGAAAATTCCTGAGTAGTGAGCTACGCCAAACTCCCAGGAAGGAGTGCCTGGTACAGGGTCACTCAGAGAATCCAGCATGTTCCATGCCATAGAAAGTGCATTGCTTTTAGCACCTACAGTATTTAGCATGAAGTGCTAAGAATATAGTGGTGGATAAGACACCACGTAGTCTATATGGAGAGAAATTTTATTGGAGTCTGATGGAGGAATCACAGTCTACATATACCCTGGAGGGATACCAATACTCATTTTACAACAATGTATCTCCAATGGCCCTGAATCTGTCCCCCAGGTGTCACTCAAGTCAGGTCATATTAGGATAAAGCAACACAGTCAATGTACCCAGTTTGAATAGGGTGAGCTTGGGACCCAAGAGATATAGATTTTAAGCTATACAATTAAGAGCTAAATAATTTGGGGCCTTCCACTTAACTTTTCTAAACCTTTGTTTTTTCACCCATAAGTTGTTCTTTGTAAAAAGCTCTCTATAAATCAAATGTTAATATATAGGATATCACTGCCCCATGGATTTCTATCAACCTTTAAATGGTAATGACTCCTTACACTTTTCCTAATAAGTCTTTATGCCATAATATTTCAACTCAGTAATGAATCACCTAGTGACTAAAACTAGAGGCCCATCTAGTGACATGGAGTAAATACCTCCATTGAATAAGTAACCACTCACTAATTGCTGCTGCATCTTATAATGTCATATATTCATATTTCAAATCTTCTTTAAATTGAGTATGCTCTTATAAACAACCTAAACCTGTCAAAAGGATGTTATTAACTGAACAATATGTATGTTTCGTTCACGGATCCTATAAACTCCCTATTTGACTTTTTTTTTTTCCTATAGGTATACATACCTTTAAAGGCCAGTACTTTCATAGCCGACAGTATAAACATCCAGATATATTTAAGGAAAAGAGGGTTCTTGTGATTGGACTGGGAAATTCTGGCACAGACATCGCTGTGGAGGCTAGCCACGTGGCAAAGAAGGTACCGGTCTTTCATATATATATATAAGCTTTTTGGTTTTTCTTGTTTTAGTTTTAAATGTTTTTTTGATTTCCATTATGAGTGCTTTTTAACTTACAAATAATTTTTTAAAAATTTTATTTTTCAATTACAGTTGACATTCAATATTATTGGATCGTCAGGAAAGTCATGACACATTTTTGCGTTGAAAAACATAGAAAAATACGTCATGACTTTCCCGGCCACCCAATAGATTAGTTTCAGTTGCACCACATAGTGGTTAGACATTTCTATAACTTACAGGGTGATCCCCCCAATAAGTCTAGTACCCATCTGACACCATAGTTATTCCAATATTATTTATTCTATTTCCTATGCTGTACTTTCCATCCCTGTGACTCCTTTGTAACTGCCAACAAGGAACCATTCTGGATATTATGGATGAAGAGCTTTATCTTAAGACACATACCTCGGGAAAACAGTGTTAGACACCATGATAAATGCTGACCGGAATGAAAATGCCTAAAACACATAGATTTCTAAAGTGTTTCTAAAATAGATTTTTAAAGTTCTTTTTAAATGTTTGCACATTTTACCGTCAACTGCAGGTGTCATCTAGCCTCCAAAACCTACTTCTGGGACTTCCTATTTTTTGTTGTTTGCCCACTCACCCAATGAGAGTTCCCAAAGACACTGGCTTCTTACCCAGTTCCATAGGTCAGAAAATATTGGCAGTTTCTCCTCACTAAGATGTCCCATTTGCTCCCCCCTTTCCTTATTGGTTGCCACCACCATCATCAGATCCATAGCACCTCACACTAAGGCTGTTGTTGCATTGTCCTCCTAATGACAATAGTAGAAACAGTCAATATTTATTGTGCTTCACTAAATGTTCTACTGCGTTACCTCAACCAATCATCGAAACAAGCCACTGAAGGGTCGTCAGTACCCTGACGACAAATGAGGAAACTGAGGCTTACAGAGGTTAAGGAGCCTGCCTAAGGTCAAAACCCCAGCAGCAGGCAGAGCCAGTTTTCAAATCCAAGCCTCTTTCATTCAAAGTTCCCGTCCCTAATTCTACCCTGCACCCCATCCCCAGTCCATCTTTTCACACATGATAATCTACCCAGACGAACAAATCCTCTGCACAGTCTGTTCTTGTTACGACATTCTCGTGTTTAAAAAAAAACAAAACAAAACCTTCCAATAATTCCCCTTCCTTAAAAAAGACAATAAATTGCAGATGTATTAGCTCTGCGTTATAAGGTTCTCCATAATCTGGTCCAAATCTGCCATTTTCATTTTATCCCCCGCCCCTACTGTTCTGCACAATCATCAGCTGCAGCCTGACAGGTGTCTCCTGAGCCCTTTCCAATCCCTGGGCCTCCGTTTTCCCCTTTGCTCACCCACATTCCCCTTCTGCAGTGCCCTCTTTTCTTTTATTACAATTTACACGTACACGCTCAGCTACCCCACCACAACACAAAGCAATCTCTCCCTAGTAAAAACTTAGGTAATAATTGTACTTTACATTCGTCAGTTGGCACTTTGTCTTATTATTGCTAATTACCTTTTATGGTATATGTTTTCCTTCCAAATATGCTATAAACTCATTGAGAGCCATTCACCCAACAAATACATACTAGCTGTTGGCTTCTGAGGTGCTGAATGTTATGCCAGGTGCTGGGGACACACTGGAGAATGCCAACAACAAAAACAAGGTTCCCACTATTGTGGAGCACGTAGTCATGAGGAAACCAGATGGCAAGTAAATAAGTGTAAATATTATACCTGGATCAATAATTGCAAGAGTAAAAATAGCTATAAAAAAAAAGGATTGGAAGTGCGTAACTTTTGATATTCCCTCTGGAACTTTCAAAAACGAACTTGATGATTGATCTGTTAGATAGATAGATAGATAGATAGATAGATAGATAGATAGATAGATAGATAGATAGATAGATAAAGGAAAGACAGAAGTTTGGTGGAATTCTGAAAGAAGACAAAGGAGGGCCTGAAACAAAAATTAACACAGTCCCATCCACTATGACCACCCCATGTGGGTAGCATATTATTATTTCTATTTTTCTAATTGTTTGGAAATTTTTTCAATCAGCAAACATGCTTTGGCATATATAGTATCATTTCTGTATCAACAAAGAAACTCATCTCAGTTTAGAACATAACTCATATCTAATAAAAGGTCCTATCTGATTCTGCATCAGGACCCAGAGAGAGGCAGATTCAGTGCAAATACGTCTAATATCAAAATCACTGATACACTCGTAGTTCTTGCCCCACATTTCCTGTATTGCATCTACTGCTCGATTATAAGTCCAAACAAATATATAACAAAAACAGACACTGTGGCTCCAGTCACCATGCCCCAGGGTTTGGAGGAGGAAAAAGCTGTGAAATCAGTTGTTTTGAATCTGCAACGCAACAGATTGGTTGACTGAATTTTTTGAGTTTTAAATAGCTACAATATATAGACAACTTCTTATTGTGTAGGTACCAAAACAACTACTAGTTTAATGAACTCAATCAGCTGGAAAACTCAATCTGTAAAAAAAAGAAAAAAAATCCACCAAAACGAATTGTATTAATGAATTAACAGTCAGTTCAAACAATAGTTTCTGTTGAAACCCTTTGTGGACCTTTCAATTGCCACCATTCCCTGTTCTTACTGCCTACGTTTATTAGTGTACAAAGTTGTAACCACAGGAGACTTTAAGCTCCCGATAGCTTGCCACAGTATCTCGCTCACCTGGTGTCTAGCACTGAAGCTGACAGATAATAAGTGCTCAATAATATGTCCTAAGACATCTTAATACTCTACCAGCGGTTCTCAACCTGTGGGTTGCGACCCCTTTGGGGGTTGAACGACCCTTTCACAGGGGTCGCCTAAGACCATCAGAAAACAAAAAGATACATTACGATTCATAACAGTAGCAAAATTACAGTTATAGAGTAGCAACGAAAATAACTTTATGGTTGGGGGTCACCACAACATGAGGAGCTGTATTAAGGGGTCGCAGCATTAGGAAGGTTGAGAACTGCTGCTCTAGACACTCCAACCATTACCGCAAAAGAATAACTTTAAAATAGGAGCTGGAGGGGCGAAAACTCTCCTGTCAGGGATACATTCTGAGGGTGGCAGATGTTTGGGTATCCCTTAATTTCTGCAACTTCTCGAATCTCTGTCCAGGCCTGCCCTGTTCATATGTCAGCCTGAGTGACCTATTTGGTTGTTCCCAGGTATTCCTCAGCACCACTGCGGGGGCCTGGGTGAACAGCCGAGTCTCCGACTCGGGGTTCCCATGGGACATGTTATTCATGACGCGATTTCACAACATGATCCGAAACTCTCTCCCAACTCCCATTGTGACTTGGTGGATCGCAAGAAAGATGAACAGCCGGTTCAATCATGCAAATTATGGCTTAGAACCAGAAGACAGGTAAGTATGGCGTATCTTGCTGTACCTGCCGGGGGCTATTAGGAAGATGGTGTCTTAGTCCTTCGCGTGGCATGTCCAAACACGGCAATAACACAGCAACATGACTGAATAGGCAGGAAAATTTCATAAACTTACTTGATCATAGTAGCTCACGGTTTTTGAGTTCTTGGTAAGTGAAATCATGTATTTCATCATACCAACAACCTTTAAAGTGAGTATGATTACAAACACCCTTTCATCGTGGGTAAACTGAGGCTTAGAAAAGTTCAGTCACTTGCCCAAGTTCGCGTAGTACTAAGTGAGCTCTGTGGCCTTGGCATGTTACTTGGGCCTCAGCTGCAGCAATCTAAAGTGAATGATTTGTCTGCGGCTCTTGACCAAAGCAACACGGTTGCCTTGTTTCACTGGGTAGGACAAATCGAAACCTATAGTTGTCCTTCACCATCACCCTAATAGCGGTACCTTGTTGACCTTGTCAAGATGACCTTGATTTTAGTCTCCCCCCCAACCCCGGGCAGAGGCACCAGTGAGCATCATCTCTATTTGGCAATTTGGCCTACCTGCAGGATCACCTGAGTGCGTTTCCAGCTACATCACCGAGGCAGCGGTTCTCAACCTTCCTAATCGCGATCCCTTAATACAGTTCCTCATGTTGTGGTGACCCCCATCCATAAAATGATTTCCGTAAAAGGGATCAAATATATGGTGATGGAAGGAGAGCTGACTCTGGGTGATGAACATACAATGTAATATATAGATGATTGATTACAGAATTGTACACTTGAAACCTATGTAACTTTACTAACAATTGTCACCCCAATGAACTTTAATTTAAAGAAACAAATTTTTTTTTAAGTTCAGGAAAGGAAAAAAGAAAAGATTGGCACTTCCTGCCTAGCCGGGGGCAGAGTCCCCAGGGAGGAAGGCGGGAGAAGGTGCGAGGGATGGCTGCATGGTCACTGGCAGATCTCTCATGTTTTTGTTTAGGACACAGCTGAAAGAGCCCGTGCTAAATGATGAGCTCCCAGGCCGTATCATCACCGGGAAAGTGCTCATCAAGCCAAGCCTAAAGGAGGTGAAGGACAACTCTGTCATATTTAACAACAGCCCAAAGGAAGAGCCCATTGACATCATTGTCTTGGCAACTGGATACACCTTTGCTTTCCCCTTCCTGGAGGAGACCGTAGTGAAAGTTGAAGATGGTCAGGCATCACTGTACAAGTACATCTTCCCTGCGCATCTGGAAAAGCCCACCCTGGCTGTGATTGGCCTCATCAAACCCTTGGGCTCCATGATACCCACAGGAGAAACGCAAGCTCGATGGGCGGTTCAAGTCCTGAAAGGTAAGTGCATGGGAAAGAGCAAGGCGGATGCATTCGTGTGCTGTGTGTCATTTTGGGTCCTGGAAATTTTGAGAGCCTCCCTAGCTCCTATCCAAAACATCAGAATCTTTAAAAGCAGCATTCATTCGTTTGCTCACTGAAGTCCACGATCATAATGAATGTATGCTACTACCAGCACAACAGGTAAATTAGGGGCCAAAAAACATACTAAATTGTGCCTAGCTGTTATTTTGACTGCATCAACTGGCTCAGTTCATATTGAAACATTCAATCAATGGAATGACAAAACTCGGGCACAGCTGTTGTGAGGTTCATTCATATCAAGTAAGTAGTGAGTTGACCAGATGCCTATCTTTCCAGCTGCAGGTGTTATTACTAGGAGTATGTTTGCCAGAAGAACAGATGAGTAGCCAGGTACTAGAACTAAAGATGAGTAGTAACAAAGCACCTTTACCCATTAAGGAAGCGCCTACACCTCAAGTTAAATGGACTTTTTTTATTTGTCTGTTTGTTTTATAGGTGTGATTAAGTTACCACCAGCAAGTGTCATGATAGAGGAAGTTACTGCAAGAAAAAAAAACAAGCCCAGTGGGTAAGTTAACGACTTATGAATCCTTTTTGAATCCTAACTGAAATTGGTAAAAACAGTAGCAAAAAGAGGTGCGAGTTACGCCACAGGTAAAAAAGTCACCAAAGACTAAAAGGAAAAAACTAGGATTGCTTGTTTAAGGAGAGAGGAAGGAGAGGGAAATTGAGAAATTTTAATGTCACGATATCATCACTTCAGACGATGGTCATCTAATACCACATGGAGTTTGGATTCTAAACCAAATATAATAAACCCTCCTCTACCAGATACATTATTCCGTGATCAGCAGACGAACAGCTGTGTTCCATCCACTCTGACACTAGAAGGATCTGCTTACTCATCCATTCAACAAACCTGTATTCAGCTCTTTTTGTTTTGTTCAGACACAACTCTAGAGCAAGAGTCAGCAAACTGTGGCCTGTGAGCCAAATCTACAGACCACCTGTATTTTTCTTTCACAGTTTTAAATGCCTAGAAACAAAAGAAGCAAAAGAATATGTTGTGATGGGTGAAAAGTATACGCCATTCAAATCACAGTGGCCCTAAAGTGCTATGAGAACATAGCCACACTCATTCATTGACGTCTTGTCTGTGGCTGCTCTCCAGTTACAACAGCACAGTGGAGTAGTTGAGGTAGAGACTGTAACGTGGTCCTCGAAGCCTAACGCATTTGCCCTCTGGCCTTTTGCAGAATAAGTTTGTGGATCCCTTCCCTTGCGCAGAGGTTTCCACCTGTGCTCTACTCTCTGGCTACCATTCAAGGGCTGGGGATAAAGGAAGGGAGGTGGCCAGTGATGGAGTATTGGGGGCTCCCCACTCTCACTCCTAATCCAACGAAAACATCTCTGGTTTTATCGGTTTTGCTGTTTATCTATTTTGGGCTATGATACAAATTTTGCCTTAAACATAAAAAAAAAAAAAGTTTCTAAGGACAAAAAAAAAAGTTTTACAATCACTGCATTTAAAAAACTTTTAGGGCCAGCTGAGTGGCATGTTGGTTAGGAGTTGGCTTGGGACACCAGCTCTGAGCAGCAGGGCCCCGGTTTGGATCCCACATGAGGGCCAGTGACACTGCGCCCTCTACAGCCAAGATGGTGAACAACAGCTCAACCTGGAGCTGGGCTGCCGTGAGTCGCCAGCGATGGCTTAGGCTGCAGTGGAGCTGGCCGGCAGCTGGCATGAGCCTTCGTGAGCTGCCGTGAGCCACTGTCCAATGGCTGGCGAG